GATGCGTGGTTTTTTTTTTTTTTTTTCAATTATGCAGAATACAATAAATTATGTATGTAGATATGTACTGTACATGTTAAGGAATAGTATATAAATTAGAAAATTAAAATTTTATAATAACTTTATTTAACAAGTATAATTATACTAAATATAAGTAAAAGTATTTTATATTTATGTGAAAAATAAAGAAAACTAATAAAGATTGCAGACAAATATATAAATACAGTAGTAATAATAAATTGTTAGATGAAAAATTACAATTAGCAAAATGTGATTATATAATCAGTTGAACGAGAATTTTGACTTTACATTTCGAAACAGCAATTCTTTGATTAAGTTTAGTTAATGATGTTGATAAGTTGAAGTAATATGTAAATAATTTCTTGCTTTAGTTTTTGTTTCTATGAAACTAAGGTGCTGCATCTGATATAGCATGGATAAACAGCAAATAATAACAAACATAACAGTTAATTTAATGTTTCAGATGAATTCAAGATATAGTTGCAAATTATGTGAATTGGTGTAACACAAGTTGCAACTATATCTTGGAACTGATTTTGAAATAAAAATTAGAATTAGGTTCAATTCCAAACAACAAATCATTTATAAAACAATAAAAGTATTAATGATTTTGCAATTAGAAATGTATTTAATGGATTACATGATAAAATCTGTTAGTATTATTGATAAAATAAAATGTCCAATTATAATAGTTATACTCAAGACATATTGCTACATCAATTGCTGAAAAGTAAAATAAATTAAAATCATATGTAAATAAATTTTAATAATTAAGAACAATACATAATGATAAATAGTATTATTTTTTTGTATTTCTAATACAGACATTTCAAGAGTAATGCTTACATTTTCACCAGTTGAGAAACACTAGTCTAATAGACTGAATGATGTCTTATGTTGTTCTAAACTACTTATATGGACATCTGTAAACATTCGCTTTACTCTCAAACTTTCTTCTTATTGCTTCTCCATCAGAGATCCTACCTTCTGTTAATGTAGTCTTTTGCAAACAATCAGAAGTAAAGAATACATATGGGTTGCTCTTTTCATCACTAGCATCTTCTATAAATATTTCCTCTTTATAAAAGCAGTATAAACTTACCAATTGACTGTTCTAGTACTGCTCCAGCTATTACTCCACATCCAATTAGTTGAGACATCATTAATTGGATAAATTTATACTGTGTTTCTAAATCAGAAGATACATGGATAAAGTATTGTATTTTGGTTCATCTTTAATCTATGAAATCACATATATCATTTTTAACAGATTTAGGCTCTGTTTATTATATATATAAAAAATATAAAGTAAAATCAAAATTATTTTTATTAAAATCTAATATCAAAACTATTATTTTTATTTTTAATAGTATAAATTAATCTTTCAAAGTGTTTAAGAATGAATGATTTCAAGTATTATGTAAAGAGTGGCTTATATAACAAATATATTTTCATTATTTTCAAACTGAAATCTGGATTGAGTTGTATGCTTTTTCTGTAAACTCATAACAAGTGCATAATGTAAAAATATATAACATTTATCAGAACTTCATCAGAAAAATATTCTTAGGAACACATGCTATTGAAGATTTATTATGAGCAGTAGCATAATTTGAATCAAAGTTACAGAGATGTCCAAAGTACAACATATATAAAAGTCACAGAAGTTCATTTAACAAAAATAAGTATTAAAAACATTAATTTTTTCAGGTCTAGCAATATATATAATGTAAGTAAAGTTTGTAAAATTAAAAGGAAAAGAATGAGATATACCTTATCTTAGGCTTTATATTATGGTAAGCCTAAGATATTTTTTTCTCAAACTGGGACAATTTTGAGAAAATACTCACAACAGAAAATTAAGCCTACTAGGCTAAGTACCTATGATTGAAAAGGCTAAATAAAGTAGTTGTTAATAAAAACGAGTTAAAAGCAATTTTTAATAGCAGAACTAAACATATCTTATTATTAATTAACATTTATCACTAGTGTGAACTTTTTTAAAAATTCTTTGTCACTTAAATCAGTACATTTAAAATATGACAATACATTTGAGGAAGTTCCTGTTGCTATGCCTCACATTTCAAGTGATTTTTAATGTTTGAATGCCTGCCATGAGTTACTGAAAATTCTAAAAGCACAGTTCATATTTCACTTCAGCAATACGATCGCAAACTTTTTTCAATCATCAGTAAACACATGGGTTCTTTTTCACATTTTAGAGATTAAATTAATTTAATATACTGTACGAAATAATCACAAATGCCGACCAGCAATTTGAACTCGACTAAGATATGATATGTGCAGCAATGACGTGGCTAGTGTAAGCTTCAGTCTTGCCAACTATAATTGAAACAAAATACCTAAAAAAATGAAATAAAAATATCTGGATCTCATAGGCTGCGTGCTATTATAAATTCTGTGAAAAAATATATGAATGACAAAATAAAACATCTAAATTCATTAGGCCATATGCTATAAATTTTTGAGGAAAATATCTAGACAACATTAAAAGTACTTAGATTTAGATATGAAATATTTAGATTGGCAACAGTGAGTGTAACAGAGGGGTAGTTGCCAAATCGCCATTTTACTTGAGGCTGCACTATTTTTACTACTTGTATATTCGGCACTTTTAAAATTTTACCAAATAACTGGGACAAAATGACAAATTGGCCAGGACACTGAGACAACATCATCAAACCGGGACAATCCTGGTCAAAACGGATTTCTGGTAAGCCTACCTTATCTCATTCTTTTCTTTTTAATTTTAATGCAATCAGTTCAGGTCAAGTTTGTAAACACTGAACTGGGCTGGCCATGTCTAATGCATAGCAAACTTATCTTGATCATACATACTGATGGGTTCTTATTTAAAATTAATGATATTAATGATGACTGTGTACACAAAAATAACTGTAATGTTTATCTCATATGTTCCTGATGCCATCTGAAACCTATATTCATATCTATGCATTTGTGGTCTAACATTGTTGTCAAATCAGAACTACAGTATTGATTATTATTCTGTTGGCTCATATTGTAAGCCTAAGCATTCTGTATACATAAATTATGTTGTATTTTGCTGTTTTTGTGTATGTATATGATGTACACTATATATACACATTGAAAAATGATAAAGTATTTGTGATAATGATGCGTGTTGTCTATAGCTACTAAGTAATAGAGCCGGTTCAAAGCACCAGCAAAGAAAGCGTATGCTTCAGGCAGAACATTTTCAGAGGTGGCAGTTCAAGAAATAATTCTTGGAGAAATGACACCTCTGAAAATTTTTCTGTAGGTGAATATTAAGTTTCTGAAAATATTTAAGGAAATCAGAAGCTGTTTTTATTTATTAAAGTTATTAATTGTTTCATGAGTCTAGTTTCATTTACTTCACATTGAATAATTAAATTTTTTTAATCAATAGTTGATAAATGTAAACAAAATTTGATAGAAAAAATATATATAAAATTTCAATCGTATAACTAAGTATGTTGATCAAAAATGTTGTTTTTATTGTTGCTCATGAAACATACAAAAGTTATAAAAAGAAATTGTTCATTTATCAAATAAGAATGTTTTATAAAAATTATTTTTATTAAAATCTAATATCAAAACTATTATTTTTATTTTTAATAGTATAAATTAATCTTTCAAAGTGTTTAAGAATGAATGATTTCAAGTATTATGTAAAGAGTGGCTTATATAACAAATATATTTTCATTATTTTCAAACTGAAATCTGGATTGAGTTGTATGCTTTTTCTGTAAACTCATAACAAGTGCATAATGTAAAAATATATAACATTTATCAGAACTTCATNAAAATACTTTTATTTGCAGGATTACTCTTAATTGGCATTGATGTTATTTTATGCTTCTTCTTTAATAAAATATTAGAGAAAAACTTAGGTGTAATAATAGGATTGTGTTTGCTCACAGTGTTAGTTATTGTAGCTTTTATAGCCCTTAGTCTTCAGCCTAAAAATCAAGAGAAAACAAATTTTAAGGTAAAATTTGAAAAATTAATAAATGATACATACATTTTTTTCTTAAAAAATAAAAATTTTTTAAAATAGGTGCCATTAGTACCGTTTACCCCATTACTAAGTATATTTATCAATATTTATTTAATATTGTATTTACCTGAAAACACTTGGATAAGATTTGCAATATGGATGGCTATAGGTAAATATTTAGTTTTATTTTATAATGTAATAAAATATAATTTTCTTAAACTATTTCAAATTATATATAATTAAAATTTTACATTTTAATTTCCAAAATATATATATATAATGATTTAATGAATTTTTCAGGAAAAATAAAATAAATAAATGTTTAAATATTTAAGATCTTACAAATAAATTATTTTGTAAAGACCAAATAATTATTACATGTTAAAAATTTAATATTTGTTAATATTTAAAATTTATAGTTTTTTTATTACATTTCTAAGAGATATTTGAGTGGTTTTGATACTGTTGTTATTTAAATAAATCCAATTAGCAATTAATAGTCTCTGCCACTTGAGCTAATTTAAGTCTTATACAGTAGTAAAAAGTCATCCAACAATTATGCAGTTGTATTTTATCTCTCTAAGTAAAATTTTAAGATATTTCATTATAACTTTTTATAAGCATAAAATGAAAAACATAGAATGTTCTCAAGTAAGCATCATTTTCTACTTTTAATATGGAAATAAGAATATCTGGGTAGTGAAAATTGATTACTATTGGAACAATAATAGAAATTTTTACAGATATAAATTTCTAACACAGTGTCTCCAACCTACAGCCCTGAAGCATAATTATCCAACTCAAGTTACTTGTTTCCACTGACATGTTTTATCAACATTTGAACTAGTTCAAAGCATATAAGTTTTTAGAAAGTCAGTTGGAATTAATTATGGTTGATAACTTTACAGTAATAAATTCCAAACACAATGTGAAAAAAACACAAACTTCAAAAAAACTGATAAAAGAAAATGTATACAATTTTAGGAACATTTTCTCTTTTTATTTATGATAATGATGAGACAGTCAGATGGCCAAAGCAGTTAAGATGTCATCCTACCACTCTGAGGAATCTAAGAATGAATCTGGATAGATTGAAAAATCTCAGAAATTTTTATGGACAATTTGTTCCAGATATGTCAATCCCTGTCCCTCACCATCCTACCACAGCTATTATGGATCTGCCAGTGACAAATATGATTAATGATTAAAACAAGCTCTTTTAGTATCCACAGGGCAAAAAGACAAAATTCAAACTAGTAGTAACAAAAGTAATTCAGATTACAATTAGTCTTACCAACTTCTCACGAGGTAAAAGGGACAAGTTAAAAAAACCCAACTCCTCATCCATTTTTCAAAACATATGGAAATGAAAAAAATCTTAATCTTTTGACTATCTTCCATATTTTGGACCCCAGACTTATCTTCTATGGCTCACATGGCCTTTTTTAGAAAAATGTTAGAGACTTTTGTTCTAATAGAACCAATTAATAAAGACATTGAAATTGAATTATTTGAACTTTTGAAACTTTGTCAAATACTTCCAATTTTAATTAGTAAAACTATCAAATTTTATATTTATACATTAAAAAAATCAATTTGAAATTAAGACTGCTAAAATTTTTTCTAGTAGATTGTTAGATGATTCTATTGAGTGTAAATCTCCCATGTTAAACCAATCAAAAATTTTTTAATGGCATTCACTAAAATAGAATTCACCTAATTAAATAAAAAATTCAAAGTTTTTTCTTACTTCTTAAATATATAAAGGTTTATAAAAATGCCTTTCTGTATCTGTTGGTTTTTACTGTTAGTAAAACTACCCAAATCTATTTGAATTATAATAGATATTGTTGGCAGAAGAAGAATGATTTTGATTTCAATGACTGCTCTGTGTAGCTTAATCTGAAACTTGTAAAGAGTAAAAGTAGTAGAAAGTAAATAGAAGTAATAATGACAGAAGTAATCTGGTTTTTCTAAATGGCTGATGATCTTTTGATTAATTGACTGTGAAAAAATATCCAAACTGGAGAATATAGTTTCAACTTGCCAAAAGACTTACAACTACACCAATACCACTTATTTAAGATTCATTGTGTGTTTTAGTACTTTTTGCCCTCATTAGATACAGAACATTTGATACAAAGTAGCATTTAGATGTCTCTTTTCTTTACAAATCATACATTTTCAAAAAATTTATTCTGTAATATGTGTTGGGACTAATTATATAATAGTAATTTTAAAAAGCTTATTTTCATTTAAAACACAATATATAACATCAATTTGTTACAAGCTCACTTGTCAGTATCTAAAGATGTTTTATAAAGTTTGTAATAATAATAATAATAATAATAATAATATTTTTTTAATTTAGCAAATTTTGGATGTTAACAGTTGTTCTTAAGGTTGTTTGTACATAATAATTTTCTTTTCTAATACATTTAAAATGCACTGTATAAAGATAAGAATATTGAAAAATGCATGTTTTTTTTTTCTTACATTATATTAGCAAGGAAAGAGTAAAATATTTTAGTCAAGACACTTAATTCTTTTGACATTTAGACAGTCACTTACATTACTAATATTGGACTGATTTTGGTCATAATTCAAATTTATCCTTTAGTAATTATTTGATTATTTTGTTTTGTAATTATCATAATTAAATATAATTTATTGTTTTGAATTTCAAACTACAAAAACTTTATTATTACTAATTCTAATGAAGTGCTATGTTCAAATACTAAAAAATAGAATATGTACAACTTTAGTATGGCAATAAGCATAAGACTAACAAATGTTTTTAGCACTTTTAAGTAGTTTTCAAATTCTAAACAGAATTCTAATTAAAAATATAAATGTTATATAGTAAGAGAGCAATTGCAAAATGTAAAATGCTAGAGCATTGCAAGAATTTAAATTAACCAAAGATCAAAAGTACAAAAAAAATAATGTAATGAGTTATTTAAGTAATAATCTTCGTGCATTTGTTAATAGTCCAGAATTTATAATTTTACAGTTTTCTTCTATACTAGGTTTATAAATTTTTTATAACAAATGTATGTTTAATAAGTTTAATAAGTCTTGATTCTTGAATCCTCCTGATGATGGACTTTAACCAATTTACCTCATTATCAGGTTGAGAGATGGGAGAGGAAAGATATAACATTTGTTTTACATTTTGTTGTTTTTATTTTCAGTTTCAGTAGTCTGAGTCTATGTAAGTACAGTCTAACATGAAATGACTTGGTGTAAAGTGCACTTGTGTTGTATTCACAGTTTTTATCATTTTTGCGAAGTATGTAGACAAATTGCATCAGAAAAGAAATGTAAAATGTGACTTGTATGTAACACTTACATAGATTTTTTTTTTCTTAAAACAGTTGAAAGTGTTTTTAGTCTTATGTCTGTTGTGGGATATTATTACAAATTGTGTATGGTGTTTAGTCATAACTCAAAATAGTGCCCTGTTAAATAGCACCGTCTTCTTAAAGTGTTAATGAATACTTGTGGACAAATTTCCTTCATACATATTAGAGAACCCTTTAGTATCTGCCAATTTCTAAATGTATCATTTTGCATTGTAAATGTCATTGAAAATCACATGATTTTGCAATAAGTCTCAAATGCATCAACTCCTATGTAATCTCATTCTTGTGTATAATTTTCATTGTTTGAGCATTGTTGCTTTAATTCAATTCAGCTTGATTTAGTGTCAACTTTGGAAGTGAGCAAATGGTGATATCAAATCAAGGATTGACTGTATTCTACTTTTTATTATTTCTTATCCTATATTGTGTATGTACTTATTCATTATATATATATAAACATAAATATCAGTTGCTTTTAATTGGATTATTATATCAAAAATTAAAAATATGATTAAAAATTGCAGCCTGGCATTGTGACAAAGTCAGAGTTAATAATTGCTTGTTATCATTTTATTTATTTTCATTGTTTTAAAGGAAAGTAATGTTGACTTTAGGAGGAATTTACACTGGTATAGAATTGAAATTATGAAATTTTGGTTAAAATAGTTCTAAAAACTCAAAGGTTTTTAAATAAATGTTATATACAGAGAGAAATGCAGAGCATATAAAATTTAAGTATTTCTGAATCTTGAGATTTATTTTCAGTGAACATAAAATTTGAATTGATAATTCTAATATATTTGATAATGTATATCTGTTTACACTTCAACACTATTTAACATAGTAACAAACACTCAGCTTCATTCCGTTGAGCTTGTTTTAACAATTCACCTGTTGTTTTAATCATGATTTCCATTTTATATGACTAATTGCTGTACTTTTTTAATGTTAAAGCTACATAACAAAGAATGTGGACTAAAATGCATTTTTGTGTTTGCTGCATCAAACTTTTTAGTGAATTATATATTCATGTAATCAAATCAAAATCATTATTTTCAGGTTACTTTTGTTATTTTATTTTTATTTCTGAAATGAATCTTAACTAAAAAGTTATAGTTATTAATGAGAGAATTCTGTAGTAATTGGTAATATCTTGAAATCCGTCAATGTAAGGATCAATTAATGAGATACTATGATCCTAAATTTAATATGTTTTGGAAAATTACAAATAAATGGATTTCTTTGGTATTCTTGTTTCATATTTAGTTTTACTCTCATGTCTTTGATATGGTCGTTTGTATTTTGAACATTCTAAAAATATTCATTATTCTTATGATAATATAATGAACTAAATTAAAATCTTGATATATAAAACATTGTTGAGACATGAACTTATCCTTTACTCAAATTTAGAAAATTAATTATAAATCTAATGAATTAACTTTTTAAATGATTTGATGGTGTCTAGTTCTATCAAAAATTCTGTTTTAATTTTTATAAGTAAAAAAATTAATTTTATTCATTTTGCTCTGATTAAAGTATTTTGTACTGTATATGCTATTTGAATATATTTTGAAAGACAATTGTACAGCAAAATATCCAGTGAAATATATATATATATATATAAAATGTACAGTAAGTGTCACTTATACTTATTTTAATCACAAGTATTTTATCAGTCATCTAATGTTATTAGAATCATANATATATATAAAATGTAAATTTTTTTATATTTCATAGAATTGTGATTTCATTTATATATATGTTATGTAATAAGTGATTATTCATAATGACCTTCATAATG